AAGCCCAACTGCACTGCGTGGCTTGGAGGTCAGATATGAAATTAAATTGAATATTCATGCTGAAGTGAAGGCTTGTGGATTAAAAAAATCCATCACAATCATCACTTCTGATAAAACACACTGGCAGCATTTTTCTACTTTTAAGTAAGAAGAAAAAAAAGTTTGTGGCTCCTCTTGTAACATTTGTAAACTCCTCACCAGGTGCCATCTTTGGAGCCCTTCAGGACATCCTAGGCAGCAGGTCTGTGTCACGGGACTACTACAACCAGATGGGGCGAATCCCAGACTGGTGCTGCTTGAGCTCCCCTCCTCCCGAGTCTTTGTATGAAGCAGGAAAGACCCCTCCTCCACTGATGAAGAGAGCCTTCTCTACAGAGAAGTAGAATATATTAATTCCAACATTTCAGTAATCTGTAACATAACATCACAACACTTGAAGTTCACGACACAAACAGCTCAACGTGTTTTTAATGTCAGGTCATCAACCTTACAGTTATTGTATGTGTTTTTATTTTGACTGTTTGATCAGGTGAGCAGAGTTTTGGAAAGAGTATCAAAAGAAAACAGCAGATGTTTGGATTTTTCAGCATTTGGAATATTTTTGCACATGAATTCTCGCTCTATTAAATCTGGAATATTGTCTGAGCTCCACGAAGCTGCGTCTTCTGTTAAAGCCTCATTTAGCGAGATGCTAAATCTGTATGTACTTCTCTCACTCTGATCCACACCTCCTGTTTTATTATTTTTTTGGTTGTTTTTTTTTGTTTTGTTTTTTATTTTCCTGTACTGTTTTTGCACTTAAAGTGAGTCGCACAATCCACTGAAAAGTTTCTAGTCTCTACCAAGGTAAACTTAGTCATTGATTTGTCAGCAGACTTACAGAAAATGCTGCTGTGTAAGTCATTTATTTTGGTCACAAGCCACGCTTCCTGCTTCTATTTAGTGGGTCAGCGTGATGCAAAGTGTTCGCCCACACGTACGCAATATTGATGAAGTGTAATCAGGCTGAGTAACTGAGAAGATTTGTGTGTGTGTGTGTGGTGTTTTATCGTGTTGTTCTGTAGTCCTCAAACCCTGTGGAAATACACAGTCAAACATGCTTTCAGTGATTTTTCTCCCATGAAAAGTGGTAACTGTAATGTTTTATAAATAAATATCCAGACTGACAGGAGGATGTTTGTGTAGTTCTGGGATTAAAAAAGAAAAATGAAGAAATTGAGTTACATCCACTGCCTCTGCACTCGTGCTGCACTGTGTTTAGATGACGGTGTAGGTTATGTTCTTATTCAGCCCTGCCCCGACACACTGTTAATGCCTGCATGTCCTGGAACCGAGTCACATCTGTTTGGCCTTTTGGGTCACATTAATCACTCAGTGCTGCTCTGTCTGACGGCTTGGGAACCAGTAGCATTTACCCACAATGCACCTGTATATCAAGACTGGCAAACAAAATTGTGGGAAATCAAATGTTTGGATTTCAGTGACAGGAATAAACACTGAGTGATGCAGATGAAACGAAGGTGTGCATTTGTTTCTTTTTCATTTTCTTTAGTGACGGCAGTAAGCCGTCATTTCAATTTGGAGTGTAAAGTGAAAGCTTTGGTGAATGCTCAGGCACAGGCAGAAGTTTGATCGTACATGAATGATCCTTTACTGAACATCAACTAAAAACAGACTTGCCCACATCTGCACATACAGAGCAGCGCTGTCCCACCTGCTCCCACTGCTGCAGCTGAGGGAAACCCCACGTTCCCCTGAATAGAAGTGGGACTGGAGTATCAGCGTGGTTCCCAGAGACAGGAAACAGCAGCTGTCCGTCTCTCTGTCTGACCTCTTGTCTATCTGATTTGGAAGCCTAGGTGGGAACTTGGAAAGGGGACTCCCCAGATATTGGTTCAGCCCTTCCTTTTAGATTGCAATAAGCAGTCATTACACAAAATCTTTATTTGATCAAAAAGGATCGGTTATGACTTTTTATAATTTTAACCATATGAATTCACCATATGTGCAAGTAATGTGAGCCAAAAGCTCAGGCTTCACTTTTTTCTATACTCAAAATCTTTGACGTTAATGAGATCAGACAGCCCTTATGCAGTCATTTTAGCCATAGAGCTGTGGCTGTCAGCATGGAAGCCATTCAAACCTTCTGTTTGTAAGAGGCAGCCAGTCAAAAGAAAGGTGGTTTAAAAGGTAAGGAAGGGAAATGACACTAAAACAGCCTATTTCATACAGTGGATGAATTGAAGGGCTTCAAAAGGACTTGGTATAAGAGACAAATAAGAAGTCGTGCAAAGCTGCCTTGAAGAATCCACAAATATATGAAGTTGGAACTTGCATTGTAGGCCTGTGCTAGGCTTGGTGAGTACACTATATTTGCTTTCTTTTTAAAATAACAAGATTATCATTGTTCATTTAAGATTTAAGATTTGAATGTAATTTTTCTCTGAAGAGCACCAAACAAGACCAACATCAGTTTTGTGGTGAGAGGGAACACATCCTCCGTCTTTGGTATCGCCTCCACAGAGGCTATTTTTCAGAACGCACCAGACTAAGTATCCCATAAATCACAGTAGCTGTGAAAGCACATCTGAGCCCGCCTTATAAATGTAAGGCCATGCCCTGCAGAATCCGAGAACAAGAAGTGTGATGTGGCTAGCTCGCGGCACTTGCGGACATGCGTGTAATCAGGAAATCAACGTCAACTGTAAGTAGGAGGATCAGCAAACTGCAAGAGAGCAGGTGTTGTGTAAAGTAAAACGAGACATTTATATATCAGCTAAAGTAGACGTCCTGATAACAGCCACACATGAGTGCACATACACGTGGCGAAAGGGTAGCTCTGAGACATTCTGCTCATTCCTGTCACATCAGTTCTGATAACCTGAGGTCTGCTGCATGTGTGCCGAGACTAAACACGCAACACTCGAAGGCCCCGAGTGCAAAAACAATGTTTGGGAGCCTTAAACTTCTCAAACTAACAACCAGATCCAGAAGTGGAGCCACATCAGTAGAGATGCACCTTGTGCTCCCTGTGCTGTGCCAGTTAGTATTTCAGTATTGTAATCGAGCCTGAATAAAGCATTAGATCTCTTTATTTTAGCTCTTTAACATCAAATCACAGGAATGTCATGCTTGGAAATCCATCCAGTTTGTATTTCAATGTTCCAGAAATCTGGAACATTGAAATAAAAACTATTGTAAAACTAATATAACTGTTGTACTTTGGCGCTATATAAATGAAACTGACATGAATTTATTTTCATTGAGCATTTAATCCACTACACAAGGCAGCATCAAGTCTGAGTTAGTTCTTGGTTTAAAATATATGTAATGTGAAAAATCTATTAACAGATTTGTTCTCTGCAGACGTCATTGTAGTTGTCACTCAAAGTAAATTGCATAACTGCATTATTCGGTTGTTGCCATCAAAATGTTGCAGCAGAAACGGACCACACAATCAATGCCCAGGCTTCTTTGGCCTAATTTTGTTGAGCCTTTCCTGTTCTTAGCTTGTATTGGTCTTCTGCTGCTGTAGCTCGTCTGCTTCAAAGCTCAACGTGCTGTGCATTCAGATATGCTCTTCTCCTTGTATGCAGATGGCAAGAAGTGGTTATTTGAGTTACTGTTAGCTTTCTAACAGCTCAAACACTGTTAATTCCCCTCAGACCTCGACAAGACCTTTCACTCAGAAAACAAATGCTGTATTTTTTTTATTTTTTATTTTTGCCTCATTCTCTGTAAACCCTAGATTTGGTTGTGTGGGAAAATCAAAAAATTATCATCAGTTTTTCAAATACTCACCAGAACCAGTCTGGCATCAGCAACTGACTCAGTCACTTTCCTTCCTCATTCTGAAGCAAGGTTTGAACTTCTGTAGATTTTCATTGAAATCTGTAAATTTCATTGAACCGCTGACATGACTGAATGTATTCCTCTGTTGTTATTTATGGCTGCCTAGTAACATAAAAATTATCTGTTGACACAGCACATGCTGTGATCGGGGACCATTCTTAATTTCGTTGTTCTCGTGACAATGACAATAAAGTTTCTGATTCTGACATGTATTTTTTTCTTTTATTAAACACAGCATATAAAGCGCTGCTTATATGATGCTATGAACTCTGGGTGGTTAACTTCAATATTTGTTGTGGTCAGCAGCTGAAACAGCTTTGGGATATCTGAAGAATTTATCATAATTTACAGATGACACTTCACTGACTTTTATTTGCTTTCATAATTAAATAAAATATGCTTGTGTGTTCTGATGTAGGCTGATAAATTGCATAAGATAATTATTATTTTTGTATGTACAATACTATGCAAAAGTTGAGTCACCCCTCATTTGTTTAGATGTTGCTCCTCAAAAAGGTAATGGATGCAGTGATTTTATTAAAACATGTGCAAACATACAATGAAAAATATAAAACAGAAACGGAGTTTATGCAATTTAGGTGCACCCCGCCTCTAGCCCTGCGACAGCCTACATCAAAATACACAAGCATATTTTATTTAATTATGAAAGCAAAGGATAAGCGAAAGAGAATTAATGGATTTCTAAAAGAAACTAGAAATATTTATACAATAAATACGAAAGAGCCTAAGGATACAATTTAAAGCTGGTTCTTTATCAAGTTGTTTTTTTTATTTTTTATGGTTTAATGATTCACAGGTCAGCGTTAAGTGGTTTAACAACCAAAACTTTCCACTGAAAATGGTCAGGTGCAAGAACTGGACTGAAAACGAGTGAAAAAGCAGCCAGAATGGAGAAAAAAGTTTGGAACAAAATATAAAGAAATGAGAGAAGGTTGGAAACTTGTATAAATGTATTCGACTGACTTCTGAAACGTTAAGCTCAGGTTTAGACAGTCACGAGGCTTCATTAGGATCATTTCCCCAGGGACTGGTGTTGGTGTACGTGAGCGACAGGACGGACTGATTTTACATCACCACTTCCCTTGAATTCTTTTCTGCAACTGTCACCGGTTAATGGTAAGCGTATATAGTATACATTCAGCCATGCTGGCGCGCGCTTTTCATCGCAGCCTTCCTCGCGCAGCGGGACTGTGCTCGTTATAAAAGCTCCAGCCGCTTCTCCGCTCTCCCTTCAACATTTTCATTTCTTTCTGGCCGACTAGAGGATAGCAGGAACTCATTCCCGGCAGCAGCAGCATGCAAACTTTCCTCGGAATCCTGCTGCTTCTGCTGGTCCTTCAGCGGGTACCTGCGCAGGTAACTCCACCACCAATTGGATTTTCTCTTTTTTTTTCTTTTCATTTTCCTTTTAAGGTAAGGGTTTAAGACCCATCACTGCATTACTTATCAAAGTTAAAGCGGGCTAAACTTAAGACTGAATCTCTCTGGCTGGAGTTTAGTGAAGTTAAAGAGAATTAACGTTGTCCTTTTTCCCGACTTTTCACTTGATTCCACGCGTGACAGCATAAAACAGCTGTACCCCCACAGTGAATGCGCTATCTGCACTCATAGTGGGTTACCAATAATCTGTGTAGACGTAACTATAGCGTCAGATGTGTGTTGCTCATGCACACAGAGATTTAACGGGCCCCAGAGCTCAGCTAGAGGCTGTAATGTGGCTGAAACCGCGCTCACAAGCTGTAATTTTGCATGCGATTTGCATGTTTCCTGGCTGTTATGAGGGAGATCGTGACATTTTCTGCGTGATTTTCCCTTGGGTGCTTCTTCTTGGTGTGCAGCTTCATACCCGAGGCCACACAGGCACATTTAGTATCACCCAGCAGGGCGCTAAGCGTACAACGAGTATCGGTTACAGTGATAAGGTGTAGGGTTTGTTGGTTTTTTTAACACACTGCAGAATAGTTTTAGTATCCATTCCCAAAAGCTTCTGGGATATGTGAGTTGAAGAAGACTTTAGAGTCACCTTCAAAAATATTGCATTACACTAACGAAGATCTCCTTTGTGCTATGCAGACTGCGTGAGACAGAACCACTGGTTAGTACCATTATTATGAATTTCCACTATGGGTCACAGATTTAGTCTGACCGGAGGCCATTTATGAATCTGCCCCCCTTCCTTTCCTCATAAATTACAAACCTAATCAATGCACTGTGTTGTTCACAGCACGTCATGGCTGAATACAGCTGTTGTATGCAGCTGGTCCAACTGGTGGATGCTGCGGCACATTTAACAACTCTTGGCAGAAGCCAACTCGTTAAATTATGCTCTTTTATACTGCCTGAGCTATAGAAGCAGTGTCTGTGTGTGAGATTAGGAAGCCTCCGTTCCCATCCGTGTTCGCAGGGTTATGAGGCCAAGAGAGAATTTTAAAAAAGAGAAAGAGATCTCTTACATTCAAAAGGCAGAAGAGAGCCAAGATCAACTGTGCACGCCCCAATTTGTGGTTCAAAAAAATCGGGAACTTTGCCAGTCCTGAGTCTGCAGGCCGGGCTGTGAGAACTTCAGAAAATTCATGCTGTGTCACATTTTACTTTTCACTTTTTCAGCATCGCTTTTACTTTGGCTGTGGTTAGTGTGTAACAGTCCCATGAGAGAATGCTCAGCTATTCTCAGCAGCTATTCTTCACTGTTATTCTTTGCATGTTTTCAAGGCTTTTTGACCGCGTGATAATAAACCAATTGAGAAATCAGAAGCACTGCTGTTGTTTGCTGGCTCATTTTACAGCTTTTTTTTCCCCTGCCGATTTTCAGCCGCACAGCAGTGCGCTCCTCACACCATATTGCGTCATCCTTTTTTATTATCTCATCAATGTGCCTGCACTAGTTTTATTTTTACACCAGAGGGTGCTCCATAGCTGCAATGAAAACCATTTCCACCATGCCTGGTTCCCCCCCTTCCCCAAGATGTTTTAATTTAACACAATTCAGTGGGCTACATACTGACATTCATGGATACATAGATAGATGGTATAGGTATTATTATAGGTGTTATCAGTGTCTGTATTGATCTACCAACTTCTAGGCTCCTGGCTATTTGCTGGTCCTGTATTATCTCCAACAATGTTTGGCTCTTTTTAAAAAAACAAAACAAACAAATTGAATTATTTTTATTATTTGCAGATATCAGATGAAGGGGGTCCCAATACAGGTAAGAGTGATGCCCTTTATCATGGCCCACTGAAAAGGCTCTCCTACCTGCTGCAAATGACTTAAAGATTAAGATCCAACCTCTTATGTAGTAATTCAGTTGTCTGAGGTGATGGCAAAGTGCTCGTGTCAGGTCATGGACCAGCTGGTGTATGTGTACGATGAGTACCCCCAGTCGGTGGAGAACAACTACATACCTCATTGTGTGGTGGTGCGCCGATGCTCTGGTTACTGTTCGGGTGAGGAATTCAAGTGCCTTCCTACCCTCGAACGCAACGCCACTCTGCAGGTGAATCAAGTTCTGTTCACATCAATTGTATTTATGTAACACTACAACAACAGTCGCCTCAAAGCACTTTATTGTTAGAAAAAGACCCGACAATATTAGCAAGAAAACCCCAACATTCAGACGACCCCCTGTGAGCAAACAATTGGTGACAGTGGGAGGGAAAAAATCCCTTTTAACAGAAAGAAACCTCTGGCAAACCAGGCTCAGGGAGGGTTAGCCATCTGCTGTGATCGGTTGTGTGACCATGTAGCAGAGAGTCAGAGATTAAAAACAAGTAACGATGATATGCAGAGCAGTGTATAATAGTCGAAAAAGGTGAGTGACAAAGAAAAACTGAATCATGGGAAGCCCCAGCTGATTAGGCCTATTGCAAGATAACTAAGGGAGGGTTAAGGATCACCTGATCCAGCCCAAACTATAAGGTTTATCAAAAAGGAAAGTTTTAAGCTTAATATTAAAAATAGAGAGGGTGTTTGTCTCCTGCCTCCAAACTGGTTCTACAGAGTGGCCTGAAAGCTGAAGGCTCTGCGTCCCATTCTACTTTAAATACCCTAGAAACCTTAAGTAAGCCAGCAGTGTGAGAGTGAAGTGTTCTGTTGGGGTTGATATGGTATGATGAGGTCTTCAAGATATGATAGCGCCTGATTATTCAAGACCTTGAGAAAGAGTTTAAATTTGATTCCAGATTTAATGGGAATCCAATGAAGTGAAGCCAGTATTGGAGAAATATTTTCTGTTTAGATTCAGTGTTTACCTTCATGTAGAGTTTCAGCTTCTTCTTTTTTATTTTCTCAGCTGAAGATTTCTTCCCAAGAACAGCCCGTGGAGCTCACATTTCTAGAACATCAGCAGTGTCAATGCAGGTCCTTTACTGAAAACCTCATCTTTCTATTAAACACTAGATCCAAGATTATTAGTTATGCCACAGCTGACTTCTAAATGTGTCTGTGGTTTGTTTCTTCTCTTAGAGACCCTGAGAATCTTCCGTACTATGAAAGATCAGTAATTAAGTCAGTAAGTAACACAGTGAGTAATGAGTGTTTTGTCTATCAGAGTTGAACACATCAATATTTCTGATGTCTTTCTCCTGCAGCAGCAGCAGCAGCAGCAAGTCCACTGAGAGCAGACCTCGGAGGAGGAAACATACCAAGAAATGGCTGTAGAAAGTAAGAGACTGATTGCTCCCCTGTGGCACTCACACACACCTTTCTTTTTAAATGATGTTTGGGCATTTACAGCTACATTCATCAGTGTTTCCTCCCCTTTGCCAGACCACCAAGGGCAGCAAAGCTAAGCAATATCATAATAGTCTGGGTGCTGCTGTGTTGCTCTTCCCTTTGATGACCCTGGATAAATTCAACAAGTACTTCTGATGAGTCTGTGCTTCTGTAAGGTCGCGAAGTATTTGCAATAGTCCAGGGTTACTGATAGTCTGAAGGTTAAGTTTAAAAATCTTTTATCGGAGAGAAAAAAATATCATGCATGAGGAAGCGCCGAGGCTTCTATATCTACATTCTTAGTTACAGCAGGCAGCCGAGCCTCTGAGCGCACAACTCTTCACTATGTTTGCACTAACTCATAGGTTTATTTTTTTTCTGGCATTTGGGGATAACGGTTCCACTCTGACTTTGAAATCGCATCTGACAACATGTTCAAATCTAACCTCTGCGCAGGGGAAGATACATTTTATTTATCAGGATTTCAATAAATCCAAGCAGTTCAATCCCAGAGCAGCAGCAAAGCCATCATTTTACAGACAGATCAGAGACACTACCAGCTCTCTCTCTCTCTAATGTGCTTTTTTCTTTTATTATTGATTTTTTTTACAAGGGGAATTATTATGTAATGAGCAGTAAATTAATGCACAATTACAACTTTGCCTCAAAGAGTGAAATGGGTACATTGTAACCAACAGCATCAGGTGGCACCTTATGAAGTTGCTCTGCATAATGGCCTCCTCATACATTCAGCTTGATGCTTCAAATTTATAACAGAAAACCTTGGTTACTAATGGCCGGTGTGAGATTTGGAAAGAAGTCTGTGTCTGTACTGCAGGTAAACAAAAGAAACGATGCCACTAAGTAGCTCTCTGCAACTGTTGCACGCAGAAATCGCTCCCATAATAGGCTCGTCTTTTCATCACCTCCTGAAAGGAACTCTTATTATCAAATAAATTCATGCAGTGAAAGATGAAATCCACAGTCTTTTTTTTCTTTTTAGGGCAAAATTGCATTGGGTGAAACTAACATAAGAGGTGAGGTGTGCAAATGTAGTCTGAGCAGTCTCCGCTGGGTGAATCACTTGGATGTCTTCCAAAGTCACAGCCTCCTTAGTAAAGGAGAAATTCATTTTGTCACTGTCTGAACTGTGGTAACACAAGAAGGGAATTTCAATTTAGAAGCCTCAAGAGCATATGCGTTTTTAAACTTGATACTAGCTTCAGCTGAGCACGGTGATCATATCATCAGAGCCAGTAGGATCTGCAGTGACTGAGTTGGGTCTTTTAAGTACTGGCTTGAAAATAACTTAGGTTGTTTCGGGGTTTTTTAAGTTTGAAGTTGTGGTTTCCTGGTCTTACCATTACCAAAATTCCCCTACTAAACCACCCTTTGGACTTCAGTTTGTCTGCTTGGTGGTGGTCTGCAGGTTTTTCAAACAAAAGCAGCCGAGGAACACGTGTGGTCTCGGTGTTCTGCCTGTTCTGGTCATGATTTGTATGCCGTAACTCAGGCCTGGAGAGCTGCTGTCTCACAACCCACTGTTTAGTGGTCCGGGGACCACACAGTTGCAGCACAGCTTTAATTTTTTCCATCAGATTCAGAAGGCTGAACTATATTTGCAACTTGAGGGACATAAATATTCTCTTTGATGTCGTCATGTGAACGTTTAGCGAACGTTTGAGTGTTGACTTTGTTTGTCCAGGAGGATGATTTACCTTTAATTTCTAAGAAACTTCACTTTAGACCGTGGCGCTGTCTGACCTTGCAGGCGCTGTCGGCTTGTTTTGTAATCAATCGTAAAATGTCAGAACTGCCAACTTAGTGGTGATGTGCAGGGCTGAGATTGAATTTAGCACATCAGTGGGTATCATAGCATTCAAATTCCATTTGAAATTTGAGGATTAGTTTGGGATGTGACGTTAAAAAAACACTCAACCTCATAGACATCTAACATATAAGAAGGAATGGCTCTACATATGCTCAAGTTATCTTGAAAGGGGCAAGCATTGGATGCAGTGTTTGGGTGCTTTCTGCTTTTTAATGTTAACTAAACACCTGTAAAACTTCAGGACTATTTTTCTTCACAAGTGGACACAAAACAAGGTGAAAACCTTCCATTTTGTCATCTGAGGAAGCTTTTTATACTCTCCAGTCTCATATTGACTTTAACGTCCAGAGTTTTATAGATAGAGCGGGATTGGACACAAGCAATTCGGAACATCTTTATTTAAAATAATAATTTAACCCCTTCATTCGTATGTTTCTGTCTTTTTAGCTGCCAGTTCCAGACAAGAAGATCACTCTTCGCTGATTTGCACCTGGTGAATATGGAGTGGTGAACATCACATATCTCCATCCATTCCCATATATTTTATAACTTATATACTGTTTTGTTTTGGTTTTTTTGCTGAGTAATCACCAAAGCAACCCTAACCCTGGATGTGTACAGTTCCTTTGGCCATGGCCTCCATTTTTCCGTTTTCATCTATTTATCTTTTCACTTTAAGCTTGCTGCTGTGTTACGTTTTCAAAACAGACACAGTATACAGAACACATACAGAATAGGATCAGAGATAATGGCTGGAATGCTTTGAGCTTTTCAACCAGGTTTAAAGCCTAAATCCATCCCTTAAGTGTTTATTAACTTGTCAGATTAATGGCATGTGGTGTCTTTGTGATTTTTATTCTGCTGTCTGCATTTTTGTGCCATTTGTATATAAAAGAATATTTATATATGTATCTATTTTGTTCACAATGACTAAAAATAAAAATAAATATATAAAAAGTGAGAACCCCCCCCCCAAGTCATTATTATTATTATTATTTTAATCCTATATCATGTTTTTATCATGAAAAATGATCTTTTTCTGATCGAAGTCTATCCCAGCTGTGATAGGAGGAAAGGTGGGGAACACTCTGGATAGGTCGCATGTTTATCCCTCTGTGGCGTGGTGTTAACCTCAAACAACAAACCAGAATTTTTTGGGTTATTGCAGTGTCCATTTAATTTAATGACTGAAGGCAACCTATTGTTCAGTAAAATGAGGAGGAGATGAGGGACTGACCTTTGACCTGGTGGCGAAGCACTCTTGTCAGGAACAAAATCCACATTGGATGTGGTGCCAGCTACTGCCAAGACTAATATTATTTTTACACGTTTAAATTAAAAACTATGAGCATGTACACAAATATATAAAGAAGTATATTTGGTTGTTTGTAAATAGATTTTGATATAATTAGTTTCCTAAAACAGCATTTTTTTTTAGGGGTTTCTTACCTGAGGGAAACATTATGCAGTTAGATCACTTTTCTTGGGGCAAAAACTAAAGCAGAGGTTCTGTTGTTATGGAAACTGATTGCTTTAGGCGCCACCCTGCTACCATTGATCCGATGATTGTCTTGCTAACAAGCTGTTACAGCATATAATACCCAGGTGATCTTTTGAATCAGGCGTGTTGGAACAGGAACTGGAGTCCTCATGAGAACCTCTGTGTTAATGTTTCGAGAGCACTGGGTGGTGATGTGTATACATAGTCAAACCAACCACTAATATGAACTTATACTAACTTCGGATCAATTCAGTTTTACTTATATAACAACAAATCACAACAGCAGCCACTTCAACATGCTTTATATTGTGAGGTAAAGACCCTACAAAAAATAGAGAAAATCCCAAACATCAGACAAATCTTTACGAGCAAGCGCTTGGAGACAGTGGGAAGGAAAAACTCCATTTTAAAAGGAGAACCAGACTCAGGTAGGGGTAACCTGCTGGAGGGGAGGGGACGAAAGACGCATTCTGGAAGACAGACAGATTTGAATAAATAAGGATTAAATGCAGAGTGGTGTATAAACTGCTCTGCACAGAGAGTGAAAAGAGGGGAGTTCCTGTCAGTGCTGTCACTGGGCACAAGAACTGTGATTGGACAGTTAGGGTTATTCTCTCAGTGAGGACAGTGAACTTACCCAGAGTGAGAGCGAGTAAAAGTCCCCAGCATCAGGTTTTAGGAACAGTTTTGAGGAACAGATTCAGAAAGTTCCACATAGTATATATAATGTCAGACACAAACAAACACACTGGCCAACAGACTAACCCATGCTGAATGAGCGCACACAAACACACAGTTTGGCTGTTGGATGAAGTGTTTATATGAAAATTAACTTGTTGTTTGCTCAGAATAAAAAATGTGAATAAATCGCTTGTTTAAAAACCATTCTGTATCGTGAATTGTTTTGTAAATTTAACAATAACTGACAGTAACATCATCGGGCTAAGATTTCAGGGAATGTAAAATAAAACATATTTGCTGGGATGAAAAAGACATAATTCATGTGTTGGAGAAGCTAGGCAAACCAAAAAATCAAAAATGATGCTTGTTTTCTTTTCGTATAGTGTATTGCATGTTTAAAAAAGAAATATTGCACACGTCTGTGTGTGCATGCTGCACCTCTAGGCAATTTAGGAAGTTGTATTAGGCTGTCAAAGACGAAATTACTGCTGTGCCTGACTGACTGGTAAATGCTCACTGCAACATGCCTGTGAGTTTCATCACTTAAAGAATAGGATAGAAGTCTTTTTCCGGTCCCCAGTTTTCAGGCACGAAATTGTAATGTGTAGGTCCGACTGATGCTTCCCAGGGATCCACGAATCTCTGGGTTGCACGGTGGGACTTCAGTGACACAGGCTTGATCAGTCCATCTGGTAGGTATTCCACAAGATTGGATCTAAAGAGTTTAAACATGGGGGAAATTCTTCGTTTCTTTTATAATATTTTTTGTGTGCATTTCTTGAACCAATCCCATGAAAATTATGTTTTTGGAGTGAAACTGCGAGGCATGTGATTGCCATGTACCTAAGTGGTTCCTGGAAAAGTCCAATACTCAAAGTTTCCACTAAAATAAGACAATCAGTATTATCCACTTTTCATGTCTTCACCTGGTTTTAATGTTTTTTCTGGTTAGTGTAGAATGTATTAGTATATTAGCACATAGTCATTTGTTTTAAAGTACTGATTTTCTAGTTATTCTCTGACCAAAATCAACCACGCAGGGACAGAAAATGCACAAAATGGCTAAGAATCACAAGAAAACTATTGCATAATTTAACAAAGAGTCAGCAAACTTAGGATAATTCTTTACATGCAGTATTTTTGTTTTTTTGTCATGAACACCGAATACACGAATGGTGGTTTACTGTGAAACATAGTAAGGTCATGAAATAAAACCCACTCCAATTCTTAAAAAAAAAAACCTGAACCCCCTCTCTGTTATCTAGATTTGCAGACGATTAGGGTCTGTAATGTGAGGACACTATAAGATCTTTATCTGCAGAAAACAGTGTGCAAAGAACAGGCGAGTACTGTCCATCCATTCGCTTAGCCTTCTCAGGGGGCGCTGGAGCCTATCCCAGCTGTCCTAGGGCGAGAGGCAAGGTACACCCTGGACAGGTTGCCAGTCTGTCGCAGAGCTAACACACACAGACAGACATTCACACCTATGGGCAATTTGCATTAATTAATTAACCTATCCCTACTAAGGGCATGTCTTTGGACGGTGGGAGGAAGCCAGAGTACCCGGAGGGAACCCACACAAACACGGGGAGAACATGCAAACTCCACACAGAAAGACCCCGGCCTGATGGCGGAATTGAACTCAGGACCTCCTTGATGTGCAGCAACAGTGCTAACCACCGTGCCACCGTGCTGTTATTCACTTACTTGTATTGCATACAGGGCCTTTCAGGTTCATGTGAGATAAGAGTGTGGTTGAAAGCAACACTTCCTTTTAAAGTATTTCACAAATGTGGATTATCAAGCTCACTAGACAAGGAGCAAGCATTTAATGAATTGAATCAGTCATCACTGAATTCTGAATTCATAGATGAGACATAAGTACCATGTATTACTCTCTTTATGCCCCCCCCCCCAAAACAAACAAACAACAACAAAAAACAAACAAACAAAAATTGAGCAGTTAGAAGTTTCAAAAATGTTTCTGAATTATGTTTAAATGCATTTTAAGCAAATATTGAAACAGAATGTGTAGTGTCACATTCAGTGTCACAAGTCCCCAAACGAAAAGTTATTAAAACATGTTAACATAGGACTAACAGGACATCACCTGGAGTGAGCACTCAACCCTTTTCTGGATCTAATTCTCCTCCCAGCTGCTTCACATTTGGCTGCAACCTGCCTCCGTGTGAGCTGAAGGTTTCTGCACATTTAAGCCAACAGAATCACATCATCTGCAAAAAGCAGATACGACATTCTGACAACACCTTCCATGTCTTGGCCGTACATTGAAATTCTGTCAATAAACAGAAATGGTGTCAAATGGCAGCCAGTGTTGTGCAGTCCCACATCCACAGAGAAAAACTCTGACTCATGACTGGTAATGTGACCCAAGCTCTCACCAGAGTTATACATGGAACAGATAACCAGAATATATAAAATCATTCCTGGTACCCCATACTCTTTACAGAACATCCAGGGGGATGCAGCTGAATCCCTTCCCCAAGTCTACCACATGTAGACTGAGCAAACTCCCACGCACCTTTGAATATCCTTCAGAGGACAAAGAGCTGGTCCAGTATTCCACGACAAGAACAAAAACCACATCTTTCCTCCTTCCTCCTTCCAAGCAAAGCTAAGAAGGGTGATCCCCCAAAGGTTGGAACACATGTACCAGCCCCCTTTCGTAATGAGAAGAACGTCTGCAAGAACCACCACCCCAATCTGCTAGTTCAGTGTGACGGCTCCTGACGTCCACCAAATGTCAACAACTCCACAATATTTACAGCCTTGAGAAACTCAGGGTGAATCTCATCCACCCTGGAAACCCTGCCATTAAGGAGTTGTTTAACTACGTCAGTGACCTCAGCCACAGGGATGTGGGAAGTTGTCCTCTTTGTCCTCAGTCTCAGCTTCCACTGCAGGTGTGTCAGTTGAATTGAGGAGATCTTCGAAGTACTCCACGACCTGGCTATTGAGGTATTGAAGACATGTGACCGTGGCAATATCTTATCCGCCACTTTGTGACAACCATGGTGACGATATGGGACCAAGTGAATAAGTCCCCAGCTACACAGGCCTAAAGACTGGTGGTTGTCAAATATGATGGACAACACTTGAGCAATGTCTGGATGATGCCATGTGTAGTCAGCAGCACAGTATACAATGTACACGGGAAGCCTCTTTGTCCTCTGAATGAAAGTCCAGCTCCATGGTCTCACTGAACTCCTTCCACACCCAGGTTTTTCTTCAGCCACTCCCATGAATGTACTCTGCTTGGCTTGCTGGTACTTGTCAGCTCCCTCCCAAGTCTCCGCTGCCGCCTAAGCTAACCAAGTTTCATAGGATTCATTCTTCAGCTTGACTGCCCCCTTTTCTTTCTGGGGTCACGTGCAATGCAAACAAGCACCTTATAGCCATTACTCTGCACAAATTGCATTCAAATTAAGATTATAAAAGTAGTTTTAACTTTTCATGTTATCCTTTTGGTCACAATTGTACGCAAGAATAAACCACGTTTTGTTTTTGGCTGTTGTTTTACATGTTTTTCTATTAAATTATTTTAAACGAAATAGGTACTGATTATTTTAAATGTTTACACATGAGCATTTTCCTTCTCTTATGAGATTATGTGGCTTTGTCTACTCATATACAGCACACTTGAGGCCTCTAGTTCGTTCCGAGGTTCTCGTCTTTTGTTTATTTCTTCAGACATGCTGCAGAGGAGACTTGAGCTCCTTGGGTTAGCTGCAGGCCAGCCACGATATTATGTAATATAGCCTAACAGATCACTCTCACGTCACTGGATTCCCCAACGGTGCATTTGAGATGCCTACGCTGTACAGTACACCTCTAACTGCACAGCGAACACAATGTCCTTTAACTTGCCACACATTTGGCATCGGTCACGTTTTTCAGCTGCTGGCGCCACTGTCCAATCAGAGGCAGGAGAAGTCTAGGTGGGCGGGCACTGTAGCTAAGAGAACGTGACGTGGCTGACACTCCAGACAAGGGCACGCCTTTAACTACCAAATATGGCACAGTGGCTCTAACGAATATACCGTCCTTTGCATTTCGACGTATTTGAACAATGGCTGCTATATGAGGTGACCAGAAACTCATCCACCATCGGTTACCAGCTTTTGACTTTGAACCTCAAAGGGGATAATTAAACCTATCTGCTATAGGCGGCTGCCACCGTGCTCCGCATGTGACCGAGCAGACAGGGCAGGGAGGGGCGGTCTGTCTCGTGTACGGTACCGTGGACCAGCGAGTTCTAGTCAACGTATCTGGGCAGCAGCACCAGCGACCCCACCGAAGAGAAGTTGTTGAATTGCAGCTATAGCCTCTACCCGGATATACGGTCGTATACGTCGGCTTTAAGGACTACGACGTTTAAGCAGCATCAAGGACGAAGTAGGTGTATTCGAAGTTTTAAACCTTTTGCGGTTTTTGTGTGTGTATACTGTCACTATTAGTAGTACTAGTGCGAGTTGACGCTCTGACGTTAGCTTGGCTATCAACCTTTGGTTAGCGTAAACAATGGTTAGCTAGTTGGTTAGCTTAACGTAGCTAATCCTGACTGTAATAATGAGGTCGTCTATTTTGCGTTTCACAAGTGTTCTTTGTCTTATTGTAAGTTACTTTAAACGGTAGTTATTTATCCCAAAGAACTACCCTTCATCGCATGCACTGTAAGAATAGCTTTATTTAGTGACTGTATTTATCTATATAGATTGGGTACAGCTGAATATTTTGACATTTATATTTTATGCAGGCGAAGTTTTCTTGTATTTCCATTTAGTTACGTTAATCACACACGTTTTGGGTGAAATATAAATAAAGGATGACCCAATGGCTAATATTGTGGGTTTGTGTTCTTATAAATTCAGCTGGAATTGTTTAATGAGGTCAAATGAATCTAAAGCACCCACACCAAGAAGAGGGAGTTGTTTATTACAGTCTTAAAAAACTTTATGTCTATGTAACTGGTCGCGTCAGCTAAAAAAAATGACCAACAGTGTCTTTTTCTGACTTTACAACTTTATGTCCTGCCATTGCTATGTAAAGAGGGCCTACTTAGTGTTGTCTCAGCTTTCGCCTTTGATGTGCTGATGTAGTTTTGTGAAAGCTTCCGGAGAGCTGGACCTTGTCAGTGCTGCGGGAAGAGCGATGACCACAAAGCGGAAGGCAGAGAATCACACCAGGGCAGGAAACCTTCCTGTCATCATGAAGCCTGGACGCTCCCAAGCTGATTCAGAGAGAGACTCTGGCTTTTCAGGTTTAGTTACACTCCTTCATATCAAAATATTGAAGTGTTTCTGAAGAGGACATTTAATTTGAATTGAACCCCAATTAACCCCTTTCATCTGATCTATAGATGCGAGCTCAGAGCACATGAGCACGATGGACACCACAGATTCTGAGGATTCACCACACCCTGTTGTACAGCAGGGACCACGGACCACTGGCTCAGGGACCCACCCTTCTGGACTTGCAGTGGTGGGTGGGCTCTCTCCCATGATCATCATGAACAATGTCCTGCTCAAGCAGGTAATTTGGGGAAAGGCTTAATTCTAAAACCACAATATTCCAACGAGAAAAAAAAACCCAAACAAAAAACCCCCAAAATAAATAATCTCTTGAATTCCATTCACAGTATCAAACCAAGAACTACGTTGTCTTAATTATGCCTCATCAGTAGGTTAATTTTTTTCTTATGGCATCTGAAGAATTTCATTAGGAATAGTGGTGTTGCTCTTAATTGTGTTTCGGTGATACCAACATGGTGTTTCGATAAAGTACAGCTTTCAAGGATTTGTCTTCATAAAATGTAACTGTGTGCATCTCAAGCTTTTTTTTTTTTTGCCTTGTTTTTCCAGTTTATTTTAGCAGAAATAATAAATTCTGGTGCACTGATTGGGTCACACTTGTTTTTCTCCTAAGGAATGAGCCACATGTCAGGGCCTGACATTAAAGTCAGAAATTGGTGGGCCAGGCCATCTATATTGACAAGGAAGTTGATTTAGTGATATTTGTGTGCAAAAGATTTATTTCAGTGCCCCCAGAGATGGCAAGTAACTGGATGTGTGAAAATGTGTGACAGAGAATATGGGGGAGCTACTGAGAAAAGCGAAACGAAAACTTTATTTGCTAACTGTAATTCTGTGGTTTCTAAAACCATTTTCACACATGTTCTGTAGCTTTGAGCTTTTCTAGACATTAGCAGATGGGGGCACATGTGAGAACACAAAGTCAGAAGTGGTCAGGTCAAACATTAAATGATTGGTAACCTAGTAGAGCACTGTGTGATGCTTGATTGCGCACAGGTATTTGCATGGTGTAACCTCAGCGAGTGGGTGTCATGTGTATTAGCTCCGGCGCCTACACCTATAACACTGTATCATTGTATTTCCTGTAATGAGAGCACATCTGAAATGGACTTGGGTCTGTATGTGTTGTATGAGAAAGGGTAACTTAGGATGATGTTTTGACCTGATTCTTCCAACATTGTCCCAAGGTTGTGTGTGAAAACTGCTTAAACCCACTGAAGACTGGAGATTCTGCTAGTGATGGCAAGTGGAGAATGACAGCTGTCTCATAAATATGTCCTTTTTGGGTTAAAGTGTGGTATGTAGACTTGTACTGTGTGGATACTCTTCAGAAAGAAATGAGATGATCACACAAGAACTGGTTGCTATGTGAGCACCCAGGAGCTCCTTAAGGAACTGTATGAGCTGTGATGCTGACCTGATTTTCAGAGCTTTCAATATTCCTCTTGTTGTTTGCAGCCTGGAGAGAATCCTCCTGCTCTGAAGCCCTGGGGGTTTAGTCCAACTGTGGAGGTGGTTCAGCAGCCTCAGGTGGTCTTTATCCAGCCTGTGGTTTCTCGTCAAGCTTCCTCAGGCACCAAAGAGGCCAACTCTAAACACAGACGCCCTAAGAAGTATTTTCCAATCCTAAAATCCTACCCAAAGATTGCCCCACATCCCGGGGACAGCTCTAGCTCCTCAGGAAGAGGAACTGCCCCCTCAACTTACTCCTCCTCTTCTTCTTCAGGGTCAGAGAAATGTAGTACTTTGACCTCCATCACTCGGGAACACTGTCAGCGAGAGAAGCCACAGAGAAGTTTATGTAATAGTGCTGGTAACTCTGGCCCAACCACTCCTGGTCTTCCTGCAACCCCCACCACAATGTCTCCTTTGCTCCAGAGCAGATCATGTCTCTCAACAGGAGAAACCAACACCACTCCTGTGAGGGAGAGGCCTTCATCGGCTGTCAGCCAGGCAGACTGTACGACTTTGCTGTCTTTCAGTCATGCTACTGGATCCAAAAACTTTACACTCCCTGTTTCCCCAGCGGTCGTCTCACTGAGTGAAGGTAACGACAGTGACGGTGATGCTGACACAAGAAGGAAGCGCTTCTGCAACACTTACAACATCCTGAGCAAATCTGGCCTGCTAGACATCACACTCCGTACCAAGGAGCTCCTCAAGCAGAACCAGCGCACGCAGAACGACATAGACCGGCTGAAAAAACAAACAGACCTCTTTCTTCAGGCTCTGCGGAGCGGAGACACCAGCATCTGTGTTAAACTGCAGGCCACTCTTTTGGAAGAAGACAGAGAATGAGAAAGAGCGATCTGTTCAGTCCAGTTTAAAAGCAGATTAGACCTGAACTAGGCCTTCATAGTACCGGTAATCCTATAGACTTGAGATGGGAAGGAAGACAAGGATTGGTGGTTGGTTGCATACAGAGACAGATGGACCGAAAGTAATGCGTGCCCCACAATACACACCCACCCCCCGGACTCTCAGATAGGCAGCATGCTGTGGCCTACATTTAGGCTGCCGGCTGCCTTAGGGCCCTGACACACCAAGCTAACCTAAAAAAAAAAGTTGGTGTTGACTTTTTATTGTCTCTCATTTAAGAGTCGCACTCATTGTAACATTATAGGAGGCGCCAGCTGGCCACCAACGTGCACATGTGTTGTGCACCTGTATGAGGGGAAATATTTATTGAAAGAAGCAGTCGGTGTGCTAAGATTATAAATTGAAAATACAAAAATACCCTTATAAATTTTTCGGTGGACATTGTACACTTTGCTGTAGACTGTTGCTGTCAGCCTGTAGTGTATGGGGTTTTTTTTAAAAAACCTTTTTTTTTTTTAAAAAAAGGTGAAAAACGCAATGTATGGGTCAACAGCCTGTCCGCGAAGGACACGCTGCAAAAATGACAGCTTTGGACAGCCACATACTTCAAGTGCTGACTGCTGGACTACTATTGGCTTGTTGTGTTGGGGACCAAATAAGGCAGACGCAGCTCAATGTTCTTCCTCACTGAGCCGGACTAGATCTCTTCCACTGAAGCTGTGTCCGTGCTGGTGACAATTTTAGCAATCAAAACTCAGAAGCTCTAAGAATTTCTTCTCTCAGTGGAGTTGTAGTACAACAAAGCTTAATTTAAATCCTGACACTGGTCTTTTAAATCTGGATACAACATGAGAAGGTGTTTGAAAAGAGAATCTATGTATAAATCAGTCTGATCATATGTCTTGTTGCACAAATTACTTGCATCATTCATGGTAGTTGTCTTTTGCGTTGCTTGACAAGCAGGAAGTTGACAGTGAAATTCAAGTCCAATTGAGTTCATGCAGCAGTTACAGTTGCAACAAAAACTCTGACGGTTTCTTAAGTCACACTGAATGTGTTCAGGGCTTCTTCGCCTGTCAGCGTAGTCAGACTTACATGTGCCTACACAGTGTCTTTTGTTGAAGCTCAATTTGGAAAATGTGAGTTGAAAGTTATGGTGTGGCCAGTTGACAGTTAAACTTTGTCTTTCCCATCATGTTGATGGCAGATGTTCCTGTGTGAACTGTCTTCATGGCCATTTAAATGCTTCCCTGACATCCCTTTGTAAATGTTTTTGTTTTTGGCTTTTTCCACTTGTAGTTAAGGCCTGTTTGAGTGTAAACAACACATGGCTGTAATATTAATATTTCAATATTGACTGCCTTCAAGAGCAGAGTTTTTCCTGTATGTTTACATGTGTTTATAGAGCTACTTTTTTTCCAACTTTTTATTGTAATTTTTTTTAGTCCACTAATAAAAACCCATCTTTTAGAACTCTTGATGAAGACCAGTCGTTGTGCATAAATGGCCTTTCAAAATCCAGATATTTTTAATGTACAGTTAAGTTTAAGTTTCTCTTTTGTAATCATGGCCTTAAAATCCAAACCCAGTGTATGTCAGATAACTTTGCATTTGCACTAAGAAATGTAAAAGTAGCTCGGAAGCAATTTCTGGACAGAAATTAATGGCAGCTATGGTACTGTAGCTTTTTTTTTTTTTTTTTTTTTTACATGAAGTGTATTACAACACATAAGCACACTACTAATCTATACATATGACTTATGTAGTATAACAATAAATAACATTTTCATCTTTTCTATTACTGATAGTTTCTGCAGTGTTAAGTGTTTTTGTACATTGTGCATGTGATTGTGTAATATTTGATGTGACGGTTCTGTTCCTACAGTGCTTACATTGACTTAAAATGGTCTCTTAGTGCAGAGGGATACTTTTATATACCTTCTGTTTAAACTTGCCATCTAAGCATGAATACGGTTTATTTAAAATGTTACCATAAAACGTGGAGGTGTCTGTCACACAAACAAAAACTCAGAGGTTTGGTTTCTTTCTTGAATGAATTGTTGGTACTCTGCAAAACAAAAAAAACATGACGTCTGTATTGTTGCGCATTTGTCATGTATTTGCTTATTTGGAGTGCTCTCAGCCTACATCTTTTGTTTTATCAGTAGGCGAACATGTAAACACTTCTGTCCTCAACTCTCAACATCGCAGATATTTTGACTCTGGGGGAAGTGCCAGCTGCAGATTACAAGTTTCTAAAGTGAACACAGTAAATTCTTTGATTTGCTTCCTTCTTAAGCTACTCCCAAACCAAATTTATAATGTGAGTTTAGGGAGTAGCGCTATCTGACATCCAGCCTTTTAGGTTGCACTCAAGACTTTGAGGTCATCCAACTTACTCCACCCACTTTCTTACTGCAGTGCACCAATTTCACTGTCAGCAACACAGATACAGATGCATCTGCATCAACAATCTTGGAAGGATTTAGTGGCTTAGCGTCTCTCCTACTGAGAGTGCTGTGGTTATTGTGGCTGGATAAATGACTGCTTGACCCTCAGAAATCATATTTTCCATATAAGCTGCAACAAAGTTCAGATGAGTTTTGAAACTCTTCAGCTCATGGCCTTGTAAAACAATCTGTAAAAGTCGACTTTGTAATACATAACACAGCTTCCCACCCCACCCCCTCTGATCCTTCTGCGATTGTTTGTGACCTTATCGTCCAGCATGCAACAGTTTGGAGTATTTTCCTGACCTTTGAGTCTGCTCTTTCAGATCCTTTGTACTCGAGACAGCTGTATTGAGAATAAGTTGTTTCAAAGTCGCTTTGGCTCTAAATGAAATTCCTGACTTGTAATCAGTTATTTACTCCCACTTTATCTCAAATAAGCTCCATGTGTCGCCTTGTTTGATGCATTTGGCTCATATAAGTTTCCACTGACTTTCTGCAATAACCACAGACGAGATGTCGAGGCAGTGTCACAGTGACATTCTAAACTTTTCTACAATAACAGGCTAAATATGATGACTGGATTATATGGTCTAAAATCAGTAGATGTTAACAGACCCACCATTCAGTTATGAATTCATTTTTTTAATAAATGGAAGAAAACTAAATTCTTCCACGCCATAGCCTATATATCTAACTTTTCATATGGCTTTGTAATGCTAGATGAGTAATTTGTCTACCCTATGTTCTTGGTGAAAGCCTTATTGAGATACTCGAGCAGCAGGATGGCCGCTACGATTTTGCTCTTTGTTTTTTTAACTCCCCTCAGCCAACAGCAAATACTATCATTTTACAACTGTCTCACTTTCTTCTGTACTTTCAGGTGCTGTCTTTGCAGAATTCCCTTTATTTTTCCTTGGACCAGGTTTCCACCTCACACTTTTACCCGAGTTTATGAAATTGTTTAAAACACTCTTGACCGATTTGTCCTCGGCTGTAAATGATTCTAGGATAAATTTTGAGTTTGTTTTCTTAACGGTTCACTGCACAGTTCAAAAACAAGAAAGAAAAAAATCTTAAAAATGTCGGGACGGCCTTCTTCTGAAGTCCTAGCTGTTTTGAGGCTGGTTCGCTGCCAGTGGAATAAATCACGTATGAAAAGGTCACTGAACTTTCGACTGAAAATAGCACAAAAACGCTCTGTGCTTTCTTTACATGTACTTGTTGCTACCTGCTCGTGCGTAATCGTTGCCATTATCATGTCGCTGTCCAGGTTTCTTTGTGTGGAAGAAGTTCCTTTTTGTGCAGATGTGCTTATGTAATGGACTATTTATGTTTCTGATGATACTAGTGTGTATGCCACATGCTGTGTTCCTGATCATGTTGTGTGACTGCAGTTTTTTTTCTTTGTTAAACGGTCAGCTTGTAGAGCAGTACAGTTTGATAACACTGGATTTTGAGTTGAGTACTGGCAGCTTTGGTTCCTCAGTGCATTTCAGTCTGCCTTGTCACTTTAAAGATGCTGGTTTCAGTTTCAGTAGTACACCAGCAACAACGATGGACAAAAATATATTTAAATATCAGCTCAAATATATATTTTTAGGATCATGCAGACTGAATGTGATGTGCCTAGCTCGCTGTCTTTTTTTTTTCCTTTATAAAATGTAAATAGAGGAAGTTGTTGAAGTCCTCATGACACTTTCCAAAGTGGGAAATTTTTGAGTTTTACGTCTTAAAACCTCTGAGGACATGAGACTTGTTATAAGTAACTTGTTATAAAACACTTCAGCTATATCATTCAAAGATCTTATAAACTAAGACTGAAAAGGTTTGATGTTACATGCTTTAGGGCTCTTTTTTTGTACATTTTAAGTTAGAGACTCATTGTTTGTGTAATAAATGTCTTTCCAAAGAAGCTGCTGTGGTTTCTTTCTTTTTTTTCCTTTCTACAATTAAACATGTCCATTTGAATGGTAGTGCTGCTTGGTTGACATTTAAAACAGCACTCAGAGGTCACATAGTGAGGAAAACATTGAATTGTATAATCTCAGCTGGAAACAAGATTAGAAACAATGAAACGTGTTGCGTTTCTTTCAGCACCACCTCTCTCATCACAAGAGCTGAGTGTGGAAAAAGGAAGTGGTTAAAAATAAATCTCTGCTTTCATGACATAAAAATAAGACACGAACAGAGGGTAGCTGTAGTTTCTTTAATTTTAGTTGGAACTCAGGCTTTACACCTACTTCTTTTAAAGGTGGCCTTTTTACTTGATATGTAATGAACATGAACACTGTTTTTAAATGTTAATAATCCAGTGCCAAACAAATGTGATCAGTATATCCCAGTAAAACAGTCACTTTTTTTCAAGCTTTAGATCCTGTAGACCCTGTTGCCATTAATACTTGCTCCACGGTAGTCTAAAACTAACTGTATGCTAATATCTTATTTATTTTTATGTAAAATGTACTGCATGTCACCACCAGGGAATCTTCGTCATTCAGCTGCAGTCTTCACGGGTCAACATTCTCCATCTCACCCTATCCCTAGCATCCTGCTCTATCACACCATACCTCTCCATGTCTTCCTTCAATACTTGATCTTCCTCTTTTCCTCTTGCCTGGCAGCTCTATCTTCAACATCCGTTGTCCAGCATACCCAGTATTCTTCCTCTGCACATATCCACGGCCCTCTAACTTTTACTCCAAACCGTTCAACTTAAGCTTTTTACCTCTGATATATTTATTTGTAAAAGGGAACAAGGAAGCCAATAAGCTATTGAACTGACTGAGAGGTCAGTTTTTACATTCAATTACACATCTCTACCGCTAGATGGCGTCGATGACACAGAATGGTTCTTACTGAAAACGCGGAAGTGTCTTAAAATTGATGTATCTGAGCCTCCGTAGCCCAAACCTGCTCTTTGGAGATAAATATACATTAAGTTACTCTTACGCTGTGTCCTGCATACACATCTATTGTAAGGTAAACTGTTTAATATCCCCGGAGAATTAACGGAATTGTATAGCTGTCTAGTGTGTCGTCAGCGGGGATCCATCATTTGGGAAAATAGCTCCGGTGGCTAGGTGCTAGCTATGCTAGCTAGGTAAACAGGCAGTGTGCCATATGCCTGTTTTTATCCAGAACAGTTTAGATGGATTTTATTGAGGTTTGGCTACACTTAGCTGCAGTTGCCGAGCATACAGTGGCTCTTTGTGTTTACCAAAAACCTCCGGAGGTTTACCTGACAGCTTTGTCTTGTTGTTGACCGCAGAGCTCGTACCATGGATTTGACTGGAAGATGACCTGCAGCCCGAGCTTATGACTGACAGATTCTGCCGTTCACCAGGTCACATTTGAGGTGTGTGTTGTTGTCATTGTGCTCGAGCCACTTATACTGACGAGTATTTTCGTTTATTAGCTCAGTGGTGTTATTTCGCCCTGCAGGTTCCACACAGGGTGACCCATGCTTTCTGATGAGCTTGACTCCAAACCAGAGGTAAGCTTTCCATCATTTTCGCCCTCGGGAAGGGAGACCACTTTGTGGTGCAGGGATCTGTTAAATAACACACGAGGTTCATCTTTTTTTTCCATGCTGTGCCTCTTCTCCTTCCCCATCACTCAGCTGCTGGTGCAGTTTGTGCAGAACGCGTCCATCCCATTGGTGCAGGGTCTGGAGGACTCGGAGTCCAAACACTGCTGCCTGCCTCTGCTGGCCCCTGCTGAGAGCTCCCTGTGCACCCCGCTGGAGCTCACAGGTGAGCACATGCTCACTTCTGTTGTCTTGTCCACTATTGGGCAGAGTAGTGATATTCGTGCCACATCTTTCATTACTACATCCAATCGTTTTGGGGTTTTTTTTCATTGTCTAGTAACATTACTACCAGAGCCGTACCTTGTTATGGAGACAGGCGTTTACTCTAGGAAAGCTGGACAGGCGTAGAAGGTCCCTAACCCATCAGCAGGATTGGTATCTGCTCCTTTGTGGAAGGAACAGGATGAGTACTGCCAGAGCTACAAATTGACCTCCAGCAGGCCACTGGTGTGAATGTCTCTGACCAGACAATCAGAAACAGACTTCATGAGGGTGGCCTGAGGGCCTGATGTGCTCTAGTAGGCCCTGTGCTCACTGCCTGGCACCATTGATATATCATTAGCATGTCTCTGGAAGGACACACAGACCTCTAGAGCTTAGCCAATGACACCCTGACTGCCATTAGGTATTGGGATGAAATCATTGGATTTTCAGACCCTATGCTAGTGCAGTGGGTCCTGGGATCCTCCTGGTGCACAACAATGCCTGGCTTTATGTGGTGAAGATATGCAGGCAGTCTCATTCCTTTAACTGGACCAAAATCCAATAGAATACCTCTGGTTTCACCTCAGACTGTCCTAAAGCTCAGTGATGCCCTGGTCCTAAACTGGGAGGAGGTCTCCCCCAAGACACATCCTGTCATCTCATTGGGAGCATACCCCAACGTTGTCAGGCATACATACAAGCGCATAATAATAACGATAATAATGTATACTTTATTGATCCCTGTGGGGAAATTACTCTCTCTGCATTTAACCATTCACTCAGTGAAGCAGTGGTGAGCCACTGATCAGGCGCCCGGGGAGCAGTGTGTGGGGACGGTACCTCAGGGTAGCTGTTCAGTGGATTCAAATTCCCGACCTTCCGATCACGGGGTGACCCTGCTACCTACTGAGCTATCCCTGCACTAAAAAAAAATAGCTGACCATTGTCGACAGAATTCGAACCTGTGCGGGGAGATCCCAATGGATTTTTAGTCCATCGCCTTGACCGCTTGACACATTACCCAGTCAACACCGGTATAGATATCCAGCATTTTTTTCCCTCCACTGATGTGTTTTCCAAGTGTTATTTTGTTTTTATATTATGTTTTTTTTTAGCAGTGTATATTCACACCAACATTGATGCATGCACCTGCACAATTTCTGTTAAACTGATACACCAATCACAGCTTTAATCATAGATTCTTGTTCTTTAATAGAAGATGATGATGATAATGATGAAGAAGAATAGAAGACAAAAGATACCTAACCAACAATCTCTGCCATTTCCTGTCTGTGTCATTTAGAAAGAAAATGTAGGTGTAATTGTCTGTAGTGAGTGATGGTTGCGGCGCTGAGCACTTACTGAATCATATACGAGTGTATATGAGTGGCACTAGCTACAGCCGGCCTTTGTGTGTGGAATAGTCACATAAATACGTGTGCCACATTGTTAAATTCAAATGCACTAGTTTGTGAGAAAACATGAAATTTGTTGCTAATTAAAATTTTTGTCACATGAAAATAAGCATTTAGAAGACCCTTGGCAATAAGAACAGTTCTTCACAGCATTCTGATTGTTTTCATAATATCTCTATCCCTTCAGATTTGCACTGGTGCATTTAACCGTCTATACTTGAAACCTGGAAAGCCTTCCACGGCTGTTGAAAAAGATGGTAAATCATCTCTAAGAAAAGAAAGAAAAGCGCTTGCTAGAGATGCTTCAATTTGGAAGGACAGATATTCTTTGTCACACAATGTGTATACGATTTATTTCTATTTTTTATTAATCTACTTTGAATAAGAGGGGCAGATCTAAAAGAGCAGACAGCACTGATTGTAAATGAAGGCTATATTTGCATTCAGTGTTGCTTATCAAGTTCCATTTTGTGCCTTCTTGAAGTCTCATACACACACTGAATACATTTAGTTATTTTAAATCAGTATTTGAGATGTGCCTTTTTTATAGTATGTTCATGTCTGCTAGTTTATATTCGTGCTATTAAATCAGTACAGTGCACTTGTCATATCTGCGTAAACAGCTCACTGATTATTTACTGTTTGATATTACTTTACAGTAAATGTGTTTTCAATTTGACACAATAACTGATTTCCTCCCCCAGATGGAGGCCTAAGCCACGAGCCTGAGAGTTCCCCCTCCCTGACAGAGTTTGGAGGCGTGTCAGAGCAAAGCTCATTAGTAGTCCAGACGCACTCTCACCCACGGGCTTCAAGCCCCCCGCCCATCCTCCATGACTTACAGCAGTCAGACAACACTTCCTATGTCCTGCTGAACCTTGCAAAAGGTAAACGAACATTAAAGGGACGTCGTTTGTCTCTGCCAAAGTCTGAATTACGTTTTTGCCACACTTGGCATCCATGTTCTTTAGTTCAAATGCTTGAATTTATTTTTGTGACTCACGATTTCTTCCTTTGCAGGCCAGCAAAGTAACGTTAATCCTTTGGTTCTACACTCACTGGCCACTTTGTTAGGAACACCTGTTCTACTGCTTGTTAACACAAATATTTAATCATCCAATCACATGGCAGTACCTCAGTGCATTTGGGCATGTGGACATGATCAAGACGACCTGCTGGTGTTCAAACAGAGCAACAGAATGGAGAAGAAAGGATAAGCGACTTTGAATGTGGCATGGTTGTTAGTGCCAGCCAGGCTGATCTCAGTATTTCAGAACCTGCTGATTTGCTGGGATTTTTCCCACAAAACCTTCTCATGTGTTTATTGAGATCGACAGACTACCGGTACGTGAGTTCCGCGCGTTGCATTGTAGGTACGAGTGGCAGCAAAATCAAAACACTGCATCAAACACTAGGATTTCCAGCACCGGTAACCATTAATTCTGCATTAATCCATACTTGCATTTTATTTGCCCCAAAAACAGTTATGTACAAAACGAGAACACGGCAGGTCCGTACAAAGACAGACTTGACGAAAAGGCAAAAAAAAAGCACAAGCAAAAAATCAAAGGAGTGAAAGCGTCAGACCCATACGAGCATACAGAGTGGACTAAAGACGTTAGCGTGCTGCCCAACTTCCATCATGCACATATTTATAATTATATGGTCCTAAGTGTGAGTGCAACACTCACAAAACGTTTAGTA